GGGTTTAGGGTTTAGGGCTCTGGGAACCGTTTGGGGACGCAGAGGCAAAGGGCGGGCCCTGCGGGCCTCGGCGGGAGGGAGTCAGCGTGAGCCGCTCAATCTCCTGCCCAAAGCAAGAGCAGGAGAGACTACAATGTATCTCTCCAGTCACGTCGCCCCAAAGCTGCTCAAAGCTGCCGCGCAGGATTACGCAGGGTCATGCATGCAGCTCCTGCACCGTTTCTTCATTCGGCTCTACGCGGATTCCGAACCTGACGTGACGAAGGAGTTCTTCAGTACATGTTGCGGTCGAGTCAAGGACGGACCGTCACTCTGCTCTGATCCTGAGCTGCTGGCTCCACATGGGCAGCATGGAATTTCTTGAGCTCCTCCAGCTGCATGTCAGGACTTCACACGGCACCCTGAACTACGGACAGTGTCCTTCCATGAGACGCGGCTGCCATCAATCCCCTTGATGCAGCGCAACATCCGCACGGCGACGCTGAGGCACATCTCGGAGATAAGCAGTTCGTCGCGATTCGCAACCGCCGCGGCTGTGAAGTCCGCTAGGCGCAGCCATCCCACGAATTCCATAGGGCGCTGCACGACGATGTACTGCAGCATCGCAAAGGCCATGCTCGTTGGGCAGCCACGGCACCAGGAGTGGTCTGCCTCCTGGCTCAATGCCCTCACAGCCCCCAGGTCCTCGCAACCCCGCAGCAGCGAGGTGAGAATCTCTGGGCTGTTGTAGTTCTGCCTTGCTTTCTCCGCTTCCGACCGCTTCAGAGCTTTGGCCCAGGGCAGATAAGCGGATAGACGAAGCTTTCCGTTCAGCGACAGAGCCTCGTTGCGGGGTTCAACGAAGCAGCTGGCGGCCTGGGGCATCTTCGCTCGGAGCTCCATTGTTGCCTCCATCATGCGCTCCAGGCAGTAGTCCCTACTGTAGTGTCCATGGGCAGTGTTCTGGACCAAAACCTCATGCGTCAACAAGACATGCTCCGGGAACAAGGCAGTTGCCAGGGAGGCAAAACGCCATTGAGATACCCACTGGCAGTCTTCGTCAAGGTCAAGAACCTCGGTATGTACTTTCGAGGCAGGCAGACACTTGGACCGGATACAGCTCATGTGGGAGTCCCGAACCCTTTCCACTGCTGTTCTCAACATCTTTCAGCAAAGCCCGAACTCAGCAGCACGGCCCCTGGCAATGTTCGCCGTTCCCGCTGCCTTCTAGTGGAGGCCGGGGAGCATAGGGCAGTAAACGGGGCGCAGCATCGGAGTGCACGGCTTCTACAGTGTGGTCAAAATTCAGAACGGTTCTCACCGCGGCACCGTCCTCCTTTCGATAGACATCCAGGACGCTACCTCGAAAATGGGGCATGATGTGGCATGAAGCTGTACAAGCACGGGCCAGGGCATCTGAGACTCTGTAGCCGTCCAGGCTCGGCAATCCCACTGCAGGCTCCCACTCGCGCAGGAAGCTCTCGAAGTTGTGCCATCCCACATGCCAGTTCTCGAGTGCAGTGTCTGCGTCAAAGTAGCAGTAGTAGGTGTACCTATAGCCTCGGTCTGCAGTCAAGCAGAAGGTTGGGATGATTTTGATGTCTGCTTGCTCCCTCCATACTTCTGACATAAGCACGATTGCCATGCTTCGGATGTTTCTCTCGATGCTGTGAGCTTTTACAAGAGTCTACGAATAGCGCGAAGAAAGAGACTTTATCTGGACAGAAACTCATACATCATGTTCACGGTATTCGTGTTCCTCACCATAGGCCTGACCATCAAAGTGTCGACAATCTCCTTGTGTTAACACTGTTCAGAGAGTTCTAACGACTCAATTGAACCGGAGAGCTCCATGACTGTTCATACTGATGGACAAAATTCTGCATGACCCCAATATAGTAAAGTACCATAAATCCCATAGTTTAGGTATATAAGGTCATGCAGGATTTTGTCCATCAACAGTACCGATCACCTCATCTATATAGGATTTCAAAATTCTGCAGGCTACCCGTGTGATTCAAACCGCTCGTGCTAGTTCATACGGTTCATACAACTGTAGACATACTCCCTACCTAGGCGAGCTTGCTAGAATGCGAGAACCTTGACTGATACTGACCGAAATAATCTTATGGATTCTCTATACAGTAATTTCTCATCGCGAGATGAACATGACAACAGCATACCATCTTGATAGTTATCGTCAGCACGATTTCTGTCACGTGAACAGCATCTTGCACCGACTGTCCTTATATCATGAACATAACATGACCGCTTGCATTCCAAACACGACTTACGGTGCTTGTGCAAACATCAAATAACCTTCGTTCTGACGGACCACAGGTGGCTAAGCAAGCTGAACCAAGACTGCGCCAAGAGGCCCATCTGCAGCTCCACATACGAGGCAGCTGCAAAGAGGTAGTTTCGACCCTCTGCGATCATGGAATTCGGGAAGAACAAGGTGTCCGCCCTGATGGTCTTGAAGGTCAGCTGGAACACATCCACCCCCGCTTGCCAAAGAGCCACCTCCTTCGCATAGACCTCAGCTCTAGAGCAGAATCCCCCCAAAATGCGCCAGAGCCACTTCCTGCGGCCGAGGGCACGTCCTCCTCACCTGCCAAAGCCCGAGGCAACAAGTCAAGCACCGCACCCCCCCACGTCCCCACAACAAACCGCTCTCCGCAGCCTTCGATGAGGGCCGCCACGCGAAAGGATGGGCCGGATGGGAGGCCACGAGCACGGTCGATCAGCTGAGACCTTAGCGAGAGCAGCTGTAATGCTTGGCGGCTGAAGAGGTGCCCACGCCCTTCGTGCCCTCTGCTGTCTGGATGCAGTTCTGGCCAATCATCCTGAGAAAGATTCCGTCCGTACATTGGGTGATGCCTGAGATGCGCAAATTGAGGGAGAGTTTAGTCAAGCCAAGTGCAAGCTTCCTCTGGCCTCAGCAGCTCACGCTTCCTTGGTGGCCACACTGGAGCCGCAGCTGCCAACAGAAGCGCAGGCACGCGCAGGCATCGCCCCATGCTCGCCATGCAGCTCGGTAGCAGAAACCAAGTTCTTACCGCAAGGCCTTCGTCAGCCCGTTCCGTGCTGCATCTGCTACAGGCTGGGTCCAGGCGTGTCAGGCTCATCCTGCTGAACAGCTGTTCTGGTGTCGTAAAGTAGTTATGGTACGAGTAGGTGAGTAGATGTTAGGAAATGCTCGACTGCTTGGTCTCGCCGCCTGCCAAGGATGCAGAGATGAACACAAGCAGAGGCTTGCGAGCGCAACAGCGGGTCGAAAGAGGGCGGACCGCAGATCGCAGAGCTCGCCCTCCTTCTCCATCAGCTCCTGGTGTCCACTCTAAGTTTTTCGGGCGAAAGGCTCTGCATTGTAAGCTCAGTGGGAGTTGGGAGATTCGAAATGCCTTGTCGCGCTTGGCCAGCTCGCGATCCTTCTCTTCCAAACTCGGTGCGGTCATGGCTAAGGGTGTCCACAGTACTGCGCGTGACAGAACAAAGGACTTCACTGCTCCGTGGGGGCATTGCCCGTGCAGCTGAGACCCACGCCTGACTTTGGTCAGCTGCAACTGCAAACAGGAAGAAGGCTCCGTCGTCCCAAAGTTGATAGCTTTCGAAATATACAAGTAGAACACCGTTGACAGCAGTGCTTCTGTGATCAATGTGATCAGCGCGATCATCAAGGTGGCCCAGGGGCTTGGAAGCAAAACGAGTCTTCCCGCAAGGCTGAGACGGCTTCAAGCAGTGATCATCGCAAGCCTCCTGCTCTTTCTCCTGCACCTGCTGCTGCTGCTGCTTGCTCATCCGCTCCTGCACTGCTTCCAAATTCGACTAGAGGAGTGTTCAACAGTCCCGATGGTCCGCCTGCCTAGCGACTCAAGCCTTGCATCTGTGTCATGCCCTCATGTTCAGCAACGCCCACGGAGCACACGATCTCTCAAGACAGCACTCCTGAAGATCTGCCTGAGTCAGCTGAATCGTCTGAACCTGGCAGTGGACCGGTCCACCAGGGAGAACAGCAACGCAGCCGTATATAGTATGTAGGATTCTGCAGAGTGCAAAACGCCGCGACAGCTCCAGGCACCAGGTCAGTCGGCTGGCGAGCAGCGGGGCCCAGCAGCCTTGGAGCTTACGAGCCGCGACATGGGAAGAGCATGGCAGAACAAGAGCGCTTCCTCGCTCGTGCTGAGTCTTTGCCAAGGCCAGGACGAGTGTGCACTCTGACCAGGTATCGTCCTTCTTTGACATAGATTCGGGCTTAGCACGGCAGCTGACGCATCGACTGCCTAGACAGAACGGTCTGAGGCCACCGCGGCACGGGCTGCGGCTGCATCCGGCAGGCCTGGCCAAAGATCAAAAAGCAATCCTTCTGTCAAGCACTTGTCTGAACTATAACTGCGGTAGCATAGCAGTGGTCCTGATACATAGTTACTGGCAATACCATGGGACGATGGTGATGACGATGATGAAGAAGAAGATGATGATAATGATGATGATGATGATGATGATGCTGACGCTGACGCTGACGCTGAAGATGATGATGATGATGATGATGATGATGATGATGGTGACAGTGATGGTGATGGTGATGGTGATGGTGATGATGATGATGATGATGATGATGATTATGATGATGGTGATGGTGATGGTGATGGTGATGGTGATGGTGATGGTGATGGTGATGGTGATGGTGATGGTGATGGTGATGGTGATGGTGATGGTGGTGATGATCATGATGATGATGATAATGATA